ATAAAACGATCGATTAATATCGGAAACGGTAGAAAAAAAAAAACTGGAATTATTTTTGAATCCTTGTTGTCATAGAGAAAAAAGAAAAAAAAAGAAAGAAAAAAAATCTCGGTAAAAAAAAAATCATCGTAGCCTATCAGGACGAAACTCAACCGTGTCATCCTCTTGTGCATCCTTCCCTCCCACTTCAACCACCTCCCCCCATCCGCCCCCATACTCTCAGTTCGAAGCAGCCCACGAGTAGAGATTTACGAGCGAAACGATCTTTTTGTGATTCGATGATCCCAAAGCAACGTGTATTCGTTCGTTGTCAACTATGGCCGATTTTTTTTCTATTGCACTTTCGCGAATCCCGTTTTACCTTGTAAATTCGTATCGAGAGAAAGAGACGGTCAAACGAACGAATTTATTTTTCTCTTTTTATTTTTTTTTTTTTTTTTTTTTTTTTTTTAATCTCTCTAACGATCTTTTCTGAAGTCGTAAAGTTAATCGTGTAAACGGGATTTGTGCCAGGCCCCCTCCCCCTTCCTGCACCGGTTCTTCCCACCGTGCTCTCTCTCTCTCTCTCTCTAACATTTTTTTTCCTTGTATTTCGTTCAAAACTTCGAAATAATGCAGTCCGAGCGCATTTTCTTTACCGATTTTGTTACTTTTTACTTTTCTTTTTCTCAATTTTTTTTTGTTGTTTTTTTTTTTTTCAATAAACAAACGCCTATTGCATATAACGTTATCCCCAATCACGTCTCTGTCTCTGTCTGTCTAACTAAATCTTTCTAAACTATCTATCTAATTAATTAATTAATTAACTAACTAACTAATCTATCTATCTATCTATCTATCTATCTATCTATATCTATATCTATCTACTGTCTCTTTCCCTTCGCAATCTACCCTTCGAGATTCCATGTATTTATATTATAATTATAATGAATTTGGTCTACTAACTGTTTCTCTAAAAACACCACCTGTTATTATATTATATATATACATATATATACATATATATGTATGTGTATATATATATATGTGTCTATATATATTCTGAATGTCAATATGTTCCTCCCTGTTGTCTAATTGGAAAATTTGTATATAAAAATAGATAAGCAAATAGAAAAAAGAAAAAAAAAAATATATGAGAAACTACGCAATCATAGGAAGGTAGAAAAAAAGAAAAAAAAGAGAAAAACCATAAAATAAAATTGAAAAAGTCGAAGCTGAGGGAGAAAAAAAAAAATAGTGAATGTGTAATCACATTCGAAATTTAAAATATATCATATCGGAAAAAAGGAAAGCAAAGTTACATAGGTCGTTATATTTCATTTCTGTAATTAAATGTAACAATATCGTGATGCGCGCGCGCTTGTGTGCGTGCGTGCGTACGTTCCGTGTGCGTATGTGTGTGTGTCGCATGTCCCCCCCCCGTATAATTGATTAATTATTATTGTTAGTCGGTGTACATCGGTGTACGTTTTATTAAATGGTCGTATTCCCTAAAATATTTGTACTTGTCCTACAGAGGAAGTAGATATGCATGTGGTTAACAATATACGATATATATGTATATGTAATAATATATTATATTATATCTAGAGCTACTGTTTATATGTAGCACGTAAGAATATCTATATCTATACTATATATTCTGTTCTCTATATATGTTTTCACCTCCTTCGTGTCCTCCTTCAGTTCTCATTTTATCCCTCTTTGTCGGTATCTATCGTCACCCTTGCATTACGAGTTTAAAGGGACACACCTATTAGTCGTTCCTTTGTACATATGTACTTAATATGTACTTGTAGGTACTGTATACTCTCCTGTCACGGTATATGTTTATGAGCGAATATATGTGTGTGTGTGCGTGTGCGTTTACGTTTGCGTTCGTATTTCTCTGTTGCGTGTATGTCTCTCTGTGTATACGTGAGAGCAGCTGTGCATATTTGCTATTCGCACGAACCTCCCTAGTCCCTATTTTCAATGTTCCCCCATGTATATACATACACATATACACATACTATCACGCACATTACATACAAGTATTTACTTATATATATATATACACATAAGATACTAACCTATCTCTCCCTTCTTCTATCTCTCTCGCTCTATACATTATCGTTTACCGTTCCAGCTCTCAAGTACGATCCGAGATACTCGCCAAACTACTCACGAATTCCTTTGAAAGATTTCCACTAGCAAAAGGGATAGACCCGTCCCTACGTACTCCGGGAATTTACTTCATTGATAACACGAGAAGAAATGGAATCGAAAGAGAAAAAAAGAAAATATAACGAAAAAAGAAATAAATAAAACATCATCACCACCACCACCCCCACCCCCACCCCTTGTCGAGCTTATCTATTTGCGGCGAGATTCGTCTCGTCGTTACGTTTAAAAAAAAAAAAAGTAATAGAAAAACAAATCTTAAACTCTCGTGTCTCGTTTGCACAAACATATACGCCCACCACATATATCTATTTACTCCTACCTTCTATATACAAAAAAAAAGATTTAAAAAAAAAACAGACGATTTTTATACGAAGTTTCTTTTTTTTGTGTTAAGCAAGGAGCAATAAATGATTCGTGATAAAGAAAAATCTGTTGGAGGTAAAAGATGACGAAAATAGCTCGTCGGATGTATTCAAACGTAATTCACACATCGTTTGTTTTTCAAATAAAATAAATTACACGCGTCGTATATTTCGCGTTCGTGTAGTTTTTATATATTTACAGAACACGATTTATGGTTATAATATTTCGATAGATCCGATCATAGAAAAGTCCCAGTCGGTCTCTTTCGATCGTATACAATTGATCATAGATTCTCCATCACGGTATAGTGAAATTTCATACAAATTTACGTCCTGTTTGGACAAGTAACAAGTGTATTTAGTTAGTTGTTATATAAAGCACACGCGTACGTATATATATATATGGAATCGGTTAAGTTTAATTTATAATGTAAAATACGATAAATATTTCGCGTAAAATATATTTGTTTGAATCGAAGTTTACTAAAATATATTATATTAATCATTCGCGTGTGTTATTACCTATGAGAACGTACATAGCAACGCACGTTTCAAGATCGAATCTAACACAAAAAAAAAAAAAGAAGTGATATTTTAATAAATCAAATATTATTTATGATAAATCACAATTGCTTTCAATTAATCTCATTAATGTTGTTGAATACTACTCTTTATCGATAAAACCGTAGGCAAAGGGAAACAAGTTTGTCAGTTAATTATGCATTAACCCATGAAGTTGCTAAATAACGAGTCAACATAGACACACTCAAACCAACCAACCACCCACCAACCCTTGTGTTTTAATCAAAGCCACATTCTATTTAGTCTATCGCTAACTTTGATAAAATTGCCACAGGCTTGGAATGAGAGTTTGAGTAATCAAATGAATGTTTCATGAGTTGAAACGGATGCGATGTGACTGGAATTATTTAACGTCAAAACATATCAAATAATTTCTCGGTCGCAGTTGTTAAAAACACTTTCGATAATATGGTAATAGCTGATTAGTATAAGAGATTAAGAAGGGGAAGTCGACAAAACGAATCTCACCATGCAACACCGTGAAAAGAAGGGGTAGTCGAGGAGGGGGCCGTGGGGGTTGAAAGTTAGACTCGGAAGAATCTACCTACATACAAACACATTCCATTTGGCGACTGATCAAAGAGCAACAGATACTACTATACTAGAATTCAAACGGAACGATCTTTTCAACGATGCCGCTGCAAAAAAAGTAATCCAAAAAATACAAAGAAAGAGAGAGAGAGAGAGAGAGAGAGAGAGAGAGAGAAAGAGTAACAGAACGAGATTTTTCTGTTCTCAAACTCGATTCAGTCACTCGTATCACCTTTTAAGCTTTGATGCCGTTTAATTTTACAATCTCGTTGCACCCGTATGTCACACGGGAAAATTCCATTAGAATTGTATCTTCAATGTACAAAGAAAGTGGCTTTGGTCAATGTCAAAGGACAAAAAAAAGAAATATAGTCAGGATGTTATTTTCCAGTAACGAGTATTCGGGATATTTTGTTTCACGTTAAGATGAGAAAACGTTTAATATAATATGTTAGGTAAATCAAAAGAAATAGTAATACATATATATATGAACGGTCGAACGTGTGTCACGTTTGAATTTCACCGACGAGCCGATAACTTCTCACCTGTGTTCAATTGCTCTTTTCAAAAATATCTTCACCTTTTATACGTTTCATTTTACATACACATACTACATACATTTTCTTACATACATACATACATACATACATTACGTTACATACATATTACATAAATACAAGCTGCACGAAATTTTCCTTTCTAGTTTCGCATGTTAAATCGAGTAAAAACGTTAGGCAGTGTAACGTTTCGAATGGAAGACCAACTAACCCCACTTTTATTTCACTTTTACGACTAAACACTAAGATAGAGCCAACCCTCTCGCTCATATTTTTTTAATAAAACGAATTTAAGTAGCGATCGAATTAAAAAATCAATAGACTCGAGAACACCGTCGTAAAAACGTACCCTGCGCCCGATAGTACTGGGTACTTCTCCCCTTTTTTTTTTTTTTTGTGTTCCTTTCAATTTTTTAACTCGAGATTCGATTCGACTCTTACCCCGACTGCTGCAAAAGCCAGTAAAAAACGATTTTACGTTTGGTCATCGACGATTGCTCCTGAAATTTTTACCGATTTAATTTTTTTTCTTTTTTCTTTTCCCTCCAAAGAAAGATAAAAAAAAAAAAGAACGATCGGAAGTCCCTCGTTCGTTTTTTTTGTTTTTTTTTCTCATCTTTCCAATCGCATGCCTCACTTAGAATGTAATTAGATTTGTAAATATGTAAATATATGAGATTATAATATGCATAATCTTTCGCATGCGAGGCACGTATGTGTATGATAGAAGTTTCCTAAATAAACGGTACGCTAAAATAATGATTGGTACACGCTCGTTTTAATCAAACTTTGACCTTGATAGCTCGATCTGGTCCTCGAGTCAGAGAAGGGAGGTGACTTGTCCGATTTCATCATGAACGGGGAATGGTACCTCATCGGTGAGTTTCTCTGGAGTTGAAAGTTTGCCGGGAGTTTGAAATCACCGAATTGCAGACATTTCCTATCAGCGTGTATAATAAATAATCTGTGTGCGCGCGTGCAAAAAAAAATGATAAAAAAAAAAAAAAGGAAAAAACCGAGTATCGAAGAGAAATCCGAGGAAACGATGAACGACACAATGCACCTTTATACAATAATATAATTTAATAATAATAATAACGACAGGAATATAGCATAAAAAGAGAAATCTCAATTTTTGTCTATTTGAGATAGAAAAAAAAAAGAAAACAAAAAAAAGAAGAAGAAAATGTTATTTCATATTTATTATATTATTTATTATTTCTACGGACGATGAGAGAGATGATTTAAGGGGGTGATAAATGTTCTCTTTCCTTTTATTTGTCTCTCTTTCTCTTGCTCGTATTAATTCGTTAACTCGAGTGACATCGAGATGAGAGAGGAATGGCAGGATGAGGTGAGCTTATTAACGTTGAGGTCAACGTAGCGTCGATATTGGCGCAAGAATCGATTGTGAGAGTGATCGGTGGAAAGGGTAGGCGGGTAGGGTAGGAGGGGAAGGCGAGTAGGAGCAGGGGGAGGGGGCTTGGTGGCTTTCTGACGGAAGCATATACCACGGAAGCAGCAACCCTCCTCCTTTCCTTTTGTACGTCGAGATCAAAGCCCCTTGTCTCTCGTCCCTTCATTTCCCTCCTTCCATACTCTCCTCCACTCGTATATGCCCTCCCCCCTTCCCTCCCCCCTTTCCCCCGCGTTCTTCTCTTGCCATTATCTATCCAACATTCGTACGTATGCATCTACCACGTTAATGCACACGGTTAATCCATGGTAATTTGTAAATCTGTTTGTCGAGGTATTACCTCATGCGTGAACGAGAAGATTGCTCGATGATTTTAGCCCGAAGGACGTCCCTGTTCATACCCCGAATATATATATATA